AAGAGTAGTTGGACATCACTCACACCAACCAGTGATGCTTGCTTGCTAACCAGGTGGAAGTGACCTAAACACCGGCCGACTGTGTCACTCGTTTGGGTCTGAGGTTTACCAGGTTTTCAAAGCAATGCGGACAGCGGAATTAGTTGAAACCACTGCTATTCTAGCCAGCTACTTGGGTGAATCAAATTCGTGATCTGCAAATTACACAGCTCAAAGTGAATTTTCACCACAGTTACCTTTACAAACCGAAATTATTCACATCGCAATAAGAGATCCGTTTGGTTATTATATGTCTGATTTTTTGACTGCTGTTTATGTTATGAAGCAAAGCAAACTGTGGTGATGTTTCACATCGAACTGTGTAAATCGTGAATTTAATTCGCGATTATTATTATTCTTTTATTGCGCATGAGTATCTGAACAATTTTTCTTGTTGTAATTACAGGGCTTTCCAGAACGTGCTGTTACTAAAGTTCTTCATTTTATGATACGTCGTGGTGAAGTACAATATCGAATGCAAAGGCGTATTTTGTATCGAATTAAATAACTCTGTTCATTATTATTATTTTATATCAGATGAGAGTTTGTCATACTATCGATTGTTATACCTAAACGTTAACTAATACATATTTGTATACTTTAAATAAATAATTGTATGTCTACACAGTTTTTTTTTTCGGTTTTAAACTCGAATATTTTCACATTTAAAAGGCGGGAAAATTCTGCAAAATGTAATGGTGGTGTACAGTCGTGTGTCAAATTTTAATCCTTACTTTGGCGTATTTTTCCTAAGCCTTCTACGCTAGTAATAAATTATAATCATCGACTGTAAGTAATGAAGGGATATAAGCAACGTGTGATAACTGCAAAATAGGATAAAACGCGAGTTCTAATTTCCACTGCTCTGCTGCTAGCTACTATATGACGTATTTAGTGGTGTGTAAGCATACACTGGAGTTTAGCGTCGTGTTCCCCCTGTCTCTGTTCTACGTGTATATGATAAAGGGAAGTAAGTCATAACACACTGTGTTCCCGGGTCCCTCTTTGTCACCTGTCTTTACGTATATTACGCTAACACTTAGGAAGGGTTTTAAGAACAGAGTAGAATTGAAAATCTGATCAAAAAATACTCTCTTTTCATAATAATTACTCTGCAGACTTCCTTCAGTTTAGTTTTATTGCTTCAACAGGAGCTAACACTTGTCGATTACAATAATTCCTAGAGAAAGGTCGTGACCAGCAGGCTGTACCAAATCAGGCAAGAGGACAGTTACTTGCCGATGACATTGGCTAGCGGTTGTGTTACATGTTATGAGTTGGAGTTCATGGGCCCATTGGTCCACTAGCTCGCTCTGTAACCGGAATGTCTTGGGTTCAGTCCCCTATTATTATTGTTGTTTCCTTTAGTCCCTAGAGGAACAGAGCTTCAGCCACACGTCTCCATTGCGTTTGGTTCTCTACCAACGTTTTCACCTGGCTCCACGTCTGCCCACATGCTTTCATCTCTCAAACCCCTATGGATTTACACTATTGAAGAGTCATAGACTGGGACGAAATGGCTGTCTAGTTCTCCAGTGATTCTCTAACTAGCGTCAGCTCGTGATTAAACTTGTAACTAATCAAATCCCTGCAAACCAACACTTGAAGATTATAATCGTTCCTTCTATAAACTGAAAGTTAAAATTATAGAAAATATTGTAGGGAGAATTCATCAGATCAAATGCGAAGCCACATTTTGTAGTCAGTTTCGGCTAATTGATGCAATGGTTCACTCACTAGGTATTAGTCTCTGTGCATATTACTTACATAACATCTTGAATTGATTAGTCATTGCTTACAGAAGCGTTACCATATAGATTGCAGATGCCCTTTGTTAACTAACGAATGTCACTACAGACGCAACCTAAATCTCAGTGTTCCTTGCGAATAGCTCAAACCGTCTATCAGCAATTACCTTCTATCTTCAAAAGAAGTCACTTAGGGGTGAATATGTATGTTTCAGATTTTAACATCATTACACTGGTAATTCTGTTGAGAATAACTGAATTGACTGAATGGTACATAACATAGAATACGTTAGAAATGATAAAACTGTTGTCGTTCTCCGACTATACTTCAACATATTGCAGAAAAAGTAACGAAAACAAAATTTATTTCTCTGGTAAGAGGGAATTATGGCTATTTATGCAGTTCAACACAGGGAAGTTCTCTCTTCACTCATTGATTTATAAAATGGGTTATAACAAAAACAGATCATTGATATGCTTTTCTGTTCGTCACAATATCCTATGGGACAAACTGACTCAATTAAAATGAGAATTATGACCACAGTTGAAAGGCAGCTTTCGAACCAAGGGTCTTTTAATTGACTTTTCTGACGCTCTGCTAACTTAGCTACTTGATCCCCGGGTAAACAAGTGTCCGGTCATCATCACACCGGAATCTTTGTTTCAAATCTAGGTTTAACTGAATTGCAGAGGGTGTGGTCAATTGTTGTACAGACTTCCCAAGAGAGCATTAATTTGGCAGACTATACTGCTACAGTTGATCTGTGAATATTTGTTTCTTCGATGAATTTATTTAACTGAGGGGTCTTGATACAAGTATATGGTAGTCGACATCAAAGGACTCGCACAATTAACATTATAGATGTCGGTTGGAAAACTCAAATACGCCGCAACTTGGATTTTTCACAAGCAAGTGCTTATACGTGGCAATCATCTGAGACTGTCATCGAAGATAATAAACATGAAACACTTCTCGTAACCTGATACGACCGAGGACGGGTGCGTACTCGTCTCCCCATCGAAATACTCCCATGTAAACTCGCCCGTGCTGCAAATCCCACACACTTTTCATGTTTTTGGAGATGTCCCTACGAAAGTGAATGCGAATACCCAAAATTTATCGATGGATTAGCTCATACGGAAAGTTTAACTAGATGATTTGGAAAATCCTGATTTCCAACCGACAGTATACATCCATTCCAAAAAAGGAATTCACTAAGCCTTTCGCATCAATATGTAAATTATTATTGCTTTTGTTAAGACATTCCTCATATTGTGGCTTGTCCTACTGATAAAATTTGTGAGTAGTATTTACAGAGACGTTCATCAGCACAGAATTAAAAGCATAACTAATCAGCTGATGATTACCTTCAACATAGATTTCTTCATGAAATACCATCAGTTAGAGTATCCATCAGTGAAGTCTAAGGAGCAGCGGACAGCTCTTCCATCTTAGAAAAAACAATAGCAATTAGTTCCGCATCATCCGCTGGCTCTACACTAATATATAGTTTTTTCATCAAAATTTTTACTAATCAAGTGGTTATTTTAGTTAATCAGTTTTCGGTATAGCCAAGGGAGGATGAAATCAAGAGGTCAAAGGTCATCAAAAGAAAGAACTAATAGATGATGTTAGTAACAAGATATATAAGTTTTAAAAGAGGAGTGAAAATTAATTACGGAATTCAAGATAACTTAATTCTTAGGCGTTAGCAACAAGTTATTACATAATCAAGAAATTTGAATAATAGCAATGATGACTAAGAAGAATAGGATGACTCAGAAGAGTTACGCAAAATACAAAAAATAATAGAATTGTGAAGACAAAGTTAAATACTTAATACATATTATGTAGTTGGCCATGGCAAAGAAAGGGGCTGTACAAATTTCTTTTGAACACATACACAGATTTGGCTTGTTCAGATGAATTCCGATCGCCTCTGCTGCATATAAAAGTCGTACTCGTAGACCCTGCGAGAGGTTGGGTGATATACGATAAACAACTTTAAAAGCTTTGTTAGAGTCGATTTGATGTCCGATATCGACGAGATGAGCTAGTATTGAGCTGCGTATGTCTTTATTCGGACTTTGCCAAACCAAGATGGGAGGTGTTCAGAAATTCGATGACAATGAACTCCCCTGATCGTACTCCTAATGTAACTAGCTCTTCACGGGCAGTTAAACTGGGAAATACACATGGAAGAGGCGAAACAAGGCAGTCTGTCTTTATTTCTTGAACTAAGTATTGGTTGACTAGTGAATACACAGCATAGCTTAGCTGCGTTGAAAGTCCTTTTGAAGTCCCTTCTCAGACGTTGTGATAAGATCTCATTATTGACATCACCCGTGAATTGTAACCTTAGGAAGACTGACTTTTTGGGAACAGTCGGCAACTTCGACTTTTACTTTCTGAGTTCATGTGTTTGTTCACGAATTTAGTTGGATATCCATTTCTACTTAGTAGATCGCGAATATATTTCCGAGTTCTTGGTAAAATTTTGATATAAAAAACTATATATTAGTTTAAAGCCAGCCGATGATGAGGAACTAATTGAAAAGGGATATATATCTTCGCTCAATCTGTTGTTTTTTCTAAATGCGTAAATGGGAATTTGGATATTCCATCTGGAACTCTTCCACTTTCGTTGACGGTAATATAAACGACCGATGTTGGGTAAACCTCTGTCAGGCGTTTATAGCCTGTAACTTCACACAGTAGGAGTGTTGCTCACAAAAGTGAAAGGGCGAATGCGAACATCTGGCGCTTATAACCGGACTGGTGGTCTACCCATAGGAGATTGAAAACCCTCATTTAAAACCTATGGTGTACATCAACTCTAGAATTCGAAAGGACAGATAGCGTATGAACCTATCTTTATCACCGGGATTCATGGGAACGTTGCTCCACTGCCTCCTGAATCAGACTTCAAGTCAAAGACTCGGGGCTAACCCCTTAACACAACCACCTGCTACGATCTGGGTGTATCCGCACCGTATTCCAACCCTCGCACAAACTAAAAGATTTTGTGATTAAACGCGCTCGCCTCGTAACATGAAAGTCTTCATTTCAACCTCCGCTGAGGTCGTGGGTATTTACCACCATACTACTGAAGAGTCTCAAACTAGGGCAAAACATCTGTTCTCAATGATTCTCACATAATGAAATCTACATCGAAATTAATTCGAAAACGCCAAAATTTTTGAAAACAAAAGATTATCACTTATTTTAATTAAAATTGTGAAAATATTCAATCACAAAAATGTTTGTCTGTCTGTCTGTTCATCATTCATGATTGGAATGTGTATGTGTGTATAGGAGGAGAGGAGATGTGTACGAGGAAATATGTTGTGACGATTGATGTTATAAAAAAACAAGTTATGAATAAATGCCAAAATGAAGAAAATGCCCCCCAAAAAAACAAACAAATAAAGGTAAAAACTGAAGTCGACTGACTGACTGACGACGTGACACTATTCTCGACTGACAATTAAAACAAACAAATACATAAAACATAAAATAAAATAAATAAAAATACTTGAACATAAACAAACAAAACAAAAGCAATGATAATGAAAGTCAAAAGACATTTTTGTGTGTGGTGCGATGATGTGGAATGATGATGAAGTTTGGAAGAATGAAAAATAAAAACAATGACGAAGACGAAATCAAGAAATACAAATTACAGACATATTATAAATGCATATTATTATTTAATGAAAGAAGAAAAAAATGAATTTCTACTAATGAAGAATGGTGAATGAAATTCATAAAACTAAATCATCGAATAAAGCCTTCTCTTCATCCATATTACCATTATTATTATTGCTATGATTAGAAGCAGAAGTCTTATTCATCTTTTCATTCGGCAGATAACCTCTTTTTGACTTACGATATGATTTTAATTTAGACATTGAAATTTTTGTTCGACCACCACCGGCCATAGTAGTACCACCAAATATAATTGATTGTTCTGGAGGTGGTGGGGGAAGATGTGAACGATACGGTTTTGCTGACCATAAGCGTAGTTTTTGACGACGTCTCCATTCAACAATTAATAGGCCTATAAAACAACAAACTAAGCCAAGACTAAAGGCCAGCAATAATGCTGATGTATGCCCTTCTGATTGACTTTGTTTCACTGCTGTGATAATACTTTGTGAGGAGGAATCAGTTGTTGTTATCTGTAGATTAGCAATAGTTGATGAGTGTTGATGTTCACTGTCCAATTCTTCTTTTCAAAACAACAACAAAAGAAAAAAAAACAAGGCAAGAGGTATAAGAGAATAATGAGGAAAATTAGATGGTTGGAGGCAATCGGCCACAGGAAGCCTTGCTCGACCTAGGTTTCGTGCTAGTTGGCACTCACAAGTCAGAAAGGCGTATCTGCAACCTGGAAGGAACTCATGTCCCTTCTGAGATTCGAACCCGCGTCACCCAGTGCTGCCTGCAATCAGAGACGTTACCACTGAGCTATTCGGGCTGGCTCGCGATTGACCTCCTGTAGGACTGTATTGGATATTTTTGATTGCACACTAGTCAGTAACTAGTGTAATGTGTCTAGTCCTATCTTCGTTGCAGACTGAATTCTATCAGTCAAGCTTGCAATGTGGCCACCATGCTAGGTGGCTCGCCATTACGGTGCACTGTGAAATGTTGGTATTAGTTACTGACTAGTGTGCAATCAAAAATATCCAATACAGTCCTACAGTAGGTCAATCGCGAGCCAAATAGCTCAGTGGTAACGTCTCTGATTGCAGGCAGTCAGAAGGGACATGAGTTCCTTCAAGGTTGCAGATACGCCTTGCTGATGAGTGCCAACTAGCACGAAACCTAGGTGTAGCCAAGGCTTCCTGCCGATTGCCTCCAACTATCTAATATCATCAAATCAATGTGCACCGTGATGGCGAGCTACCTAGCATGGTGGCTACATTGTAAACTTGACTGATAGAATTCAGTCTGCACCGAAGATAGGACTAGACACATTACACTAGTTACTGACTAGTGTGCAATCAAAAATGAGGAAAATTACTTATAAAACATAAGAAAAGAATTATTTGTTTTTCCTGTTGACTGACAGAACTGAAATGTTCAGCCTCTGTTGTTGACCTGTCGGCTACTCCTGGTGTGGAAGACGCTTGGACGATGCCTCGGGATTATTAACTTGAAGCAATTTGATGGACTGAGGGGTGACTAGCAGTGGAATCCAGGATGCATAGACCATCCACTTACTGGAGAATGAAAGTACATCCAAAAGACAAGTTCCAAATAGGACGAAATGCACATCCTAGTTTTCACAGCTAGTTACCATCAACTAAACACGAAAAGTGTGCATCGGTGGCACAGCGGTAGGATGCTCGCCAACCGCGCAGGTGGTCCGGGGTTCGATCCCCGGCCACCAACGTGCTCCTTTACCTCGTTAAGCCAGCAATAAAACTGGTAAAGAGGAAAGGTTTGGCAAGTGGCTAGCAACCCCACCCCGTAAAATCTAAACACCACTGCTACCAAAACTTCAAAGTTTTGGCTTGAAGCCCTATGTTCGTTCCACTGGGAACGTAAAGGAATAAAAAAAGAAAAACAAGAAAAGGACTTGGGTGATAATTAGATCATGCTACCATTTACAAATCCAACCTAATTGTTATATACAGGAAGATAGTGTGACTGATTGTGTGAGAACACTACCAGTGTAACTAGGTGACTATGTTTTGTCGCCTCATAATGCTTTTTTCGATTATCACTCACTGAGCTGAACTCATTACCAATCTTCTAATCTATTTAACACTTCTTTTCATCTCCTTCCTCATCTCTCGAACTTTCCATCATACTATCTTTAAATAAACTATGGTTATTAGATTATTAACTATCTTGTATTCATATCTATAGCTCCTTTGGGTTGAAATAATTTCCAAAGTATGTTATGCTAATTCGTATTTATAATAATCTATATCATTTTTAAGGCTGTTACCAAATGAAGAAACGAAGTGAAATAAAAAGAAGGCGTTTTTATCCTGAAAATACATTCGTTCTTGCTTTATTCAAATTAATCAAGCTAAACGAAGCGGCTGTAGGAAAATTTCAAATGCTTTTAAGTTTCATACTAACGAACATCAGTAAGCAAGAATCATTAACATATATTTTGTCAACAAAATAACACAAATTTATGAGTTTGATCACGAGCACGAGCTGAAATCAGTTGGAGGGAAACACTGAATATCAGGGAATACTTAACAGCTGCCTCGTCCATTTTTGGGACTCTTCATCGGTACGCACCCACTATAGTTTAAACCCAGGACTTTCCCTTTACAAGGTGAACTCCTGAGTTCCAAACCAGTTCGGTGCATACTGATGAAGAGTTTCAAACGAGGACAAAACAACTACCCAGTGTTCCCTGGTTTTTAATGGTCCCCCAATTCATATAAAACTTGTAACTAATCGAATCCATGCAAACTAATACTTAAAAATAATTTATAAACTTATCTTTTATTTCAGCCGATTGAATTAGAACATATTTAACCTACAGGACTATAGAGCCTAACGCAAGCTACTGTGCTTATCTGCATGACTGACTGAGTTTTCAACATGGAACTATGCACAGAAGTGCAACAGTTTAAGTTGATACTGTCATTATATTGTACACAAAAGTAGGACTATAATGAGAAGAAATGCACATAAGAAAGAATAACTGCATGGAGACACATGAGGATTTAATGGACCTAAAAGATGACAAAAAGTGAATGCATCTGTGCCATTCCGAGTCAAGTGTCGAGTCATCTAACCAGCAGTCTCAAGCTACTTGTTCTTAGTGCCCTGATGACTCCGACCAGGTCGGTCGGTCGGTCGGTTTTCGACATAGAACTTTGCACATATGTGCGCCAGTTCAAGTCGCCACACTCCATGTAGCACACAAAGCAAGAGAAGAAAGTAGGAGAAATGCATATTAGAGACAGTAAACAGAGGTGTGAGACAAAGGTATAGTAATAGCGAAGAACAAAAGTTTCACTGGAAATCATAAGTCACAAGGAGTAGATGCATCTGCGCCAGTTGAGAACGATTTTGAGCCATGTCACCAATTGTTTCCAACCATTGGTTTTTACCGTCCCGAGGACCCCAACCAGTCAGGAAGTCTACACCTTCCTACGTGGCTTAGACTAACTGTTGTAGATTTCATTGATTGGTGCCATGTTTTCGTTTGACCGCCGCTAGCTCTTTTCCAGCCTGGCCCTATATCAGCTAACATTGCCCGTCGAGGAAGGCGATGACTAGGCATACGTAACACATGTCCTAACCATCTCAATTGATGTAATTTAACAGTTTCGTCGATTGATTTCCCCTCCTTACCTAGCACTCGACATCTAACCTCAATATTGCTCACCTTATTATACCACTTCACGCGGGAGATAGAACGCAGATACCTATGATCGAAGACAGCTAGCCTTTTCATGTCTTCCGCTCTCAATGGCCACGTCTCACAGCCATAAAGGAGGACGGAGCGGACTGTTGAGCAGTACACACGCCCTTTGGTCGATAGTCGGATATCACGTCTACACCAGAGACGACGTAAACTGGCATATGCGAACCTAGCCCTCTGTATTCGTCCTGAGATTTCGTCGGAGATCAACCCGTTGGCACTGGCTGATGGTACTTCCCAAGTAAGTGAAGCGGTCAACGTGCTCTACCACTTCACTTCCTATTTCTAATCTAGGGGTCGGTGTAGTCCAATCCTGCAGCATCATCTTACATTTTACAGGGGCGAATCGCATGCCAAACATACGAAGATTGTCGCTCAAGGTGTTCAGTAGACGAGGTAGTGTATACACCCACCTACCCACCCTCCTACATGGTTCAAACCAACCGTCAAAGAATGTATGGATTAATGTGAGGTTTTGATATAATCAGGCCTAACTCTTTTCACACCGGATGCTGTGTCAGCTGGACACAAAAGGCGATGAATTGGTGTGTGTAACAAGGGCCCCAGTCATCTCATCGATTCACTTTCACTGCTTACCTAATACTTTATCCTTAGCCTTCATATCCGTTATAAATGATCGCAGGATTAGGAAATGAGCAATCTATACTGTCTGTAATGCTTTAAATCCATTTAAAAGCACACACTCGATTCTTTATTCATAAAAGTGTTTAATCTACACAAATGTTCAGAGGAAAGCTTTACAAATAATAGTTTTTCCAGGAATATTATATATATATAAAACAATTATTGTTAAATATGAACTCACTTTTCTGCATATTAGATCTATGGCCAGCATCTTCAAATTCACTTCTATGAATAACGCGTTTTGGTTCTGAAAATTTTTTTAAGAAACATAAAGGTAAAATGATTAAACATTAGAATAAATACAAGAGGGAAACAACCTCATTGTAATGTATGCTGCAAATTTTAAAACCCGCTAAATATTATTATTATTGTTTCCTTTAATTCCTAAAGGAACACAGGGCTTCAGCCGTGCGTCTCCATTGAGTTCGGTTCTCTGCTAGAGTCTTCACCTGGCTCCAAGTCTGTCCACACCTTTTCATCTCCTCTTCACATGACCTCTTCCAAGTCACCCTCACACTGACAACCAACTCGCCTCTTCCCTTTCGGGTTCCACTCGAGCAATGGCTTGTCTAGTGATGTCACTTGATGGTTTCCTCAGAGTATGGCCAATCCATCTCCATTTCTTCCTGCTTATTTGTTTCACAATTGGTTCCTGGTTGGTTCGCTCCCAGAGATCCCTGTTGCTGATCTTTTCTGGCTGGCCATCTGATCTTGAGTATTGAGCGAAGACAACTGTTAATGAAGGTCTGTAGTTTGCTTGAGGTGCTCTTTATGACGCACAGCGCAAGTCTCTGATCCGTATAGTGGCACTGACTTCACATCGGAGTTGAAAATCCGTATCTTATCTTCGTTTTCATGCTGAGTGCTGTTGACCTCCACACAGACTTGAGAGTAATGAAGGCTTGTCTTGCTTTCCCTATCCTTGCTTTTATATCCTCATCAGTTCCGCCTGTAGTTGGAACAGTGCTTCCCAGGTAAGTAGGTAAAAGAGGTTGTTTCTTCCAGGTTCCTTCCATTTATGCTGATTGTTGTCTGTTGTTGTTGTTGCTGTTGGTGGTGTTGCCCAGGAATCTTCATCACCTCTGTTTTCTCTATGTTCACCTGAAGTTCTATCTTTGATGCTTCTTCTGCCAAAACCCGCTAAATAAACATCTGAAAAAAAATTGAATGGAAAACCTGAGACAATGACAGCACAGAAGAAACCATAATTTTTTCTTAATGAGGACTTCCCCAGTGAATATTTATACACATATATTAACTAATTGAAAAGAAATACATTTCTTCGCTTAATTTATTGCTTTTCCTTATTTGTTTATTTGGTAAATTTCAAATTACTAAGCGAAATTTTGTCCCGGAGACTAGTCAGAAGTATACGGAGAAAATACTACTACATAGCAAACTTGTATTTATCATTTTCTAGCCAGTGAATGATAGGGACTCCAATGAAGGATAAGCTAGATAAAACTTTGTTACATCTATGTGTATTTATCAATTCAACTGCTCCTTCCTGCAGAGACAGTTATATCGGGCGTACTACTAGACAGACAGCTTAGCCACCGTGTTTTCGCAAAGGACAGGCAAAAAGCCATCAGAAGCTCTGTTTTGTCACATTTAGTAGAAAAGACGGAAGCATTCAAAGTGATTCATCACATCCCACCGAATATTTCCAGTGGACTCTGTATTCTTCTACTACACATATAGCTGAGGCGATAGACATTCGAACCTATTAGGCTTAAAAAGTATGCATTCAAAAGAAGTTCGTACAGCTATTATCCCTCCTTTGGGCAATTAACACCTAACCAATCGATGATTTCACCACCAGCAACCCTTATTCATAATTTTAATCCCTTTCTTATCATCCCTTAATCTTATCATACCTTCATTCATAGTTTATTTACTTTCCTTATAATCTAAGATTTATTCAGAACAAAATATTTAGAGCGAACAATTGTTTTCAATAAATTCTTCTTCAGGCTCTACAATTATAAATCCATTAATTTAAGCATACAATAGCCAGTAAAGGCAAATTAGAATCATATCAGAAAGTGTATTGTGGAACAAGTATAAGATGGGATGGAACAATAGTCAGTTAGTATTTTAATATGCATGGTCAATGAGAACATGGGACAAAATCAGATGAAGTAATTTAATTTAATGATGTGTGTATATATATAAATATAGTCAACAGAAATACAGGTTTCGAGAGTGTGTGTAATCAGGGTGTGTGAGACAATATGAAAATAGACCAACGAATGGGGCGGACTAGACATAAGTTCAAGGTTGAAAATAACGACAGTAAGAATGATTGTAAAATAATAACGATGATATGGTGTAAAATTACAAGCACTATTGGTGAATGATTGTCAAATAATAATAATGAATATAATGAAGTGGAATGAACAGGATTTTGTAAATACGATAGCAAGTTAGAAAAGCACTACTTAAACCTAAGGTAATAAAATCATAAGAAAGGTCATGAAATCATAAAAGTCGAAAATGAACGATTGTCAATGAAACAGAGGAATAGAAGAAGAAGAAGAAAAGAAAAGAAAATTGTGAAAGGAATTTATAGTGTTAATGGAGGATTTGTTGGCTTTATTGTAGGCCAAGGTAAACATAGTGGTTGAACATACTTCTTCTGTATGCAAAGAGATGGTCTTCTGGTATTAATTGCCACCGCTTCATTCGTTGGTTTATTTTCATATTGTCTCACACACCCTGATTACACACACTCTCGAAACCTGTATTTCTGTTGACTATATTTATATATACACACATCATTAAATTAAATTACTTCATCTGATTTTGTCCCATGTTCTCATTGACCATGCATATTAAAAAACTATCTGACTATTGTTCCATCCCATCTTACACTTGTTCCACAATACACTTTCTGATATGATTCTAATTTGCCTTTACTGGCTATTGTATGCTTAAATTAATGGATTTATAATTGTAGAGCCTGAAGAAGAATTTATTGAAAACAATTGTTCGCTCTAAATATTTTGTTCTGAATAAATTATGGGAATATTCAATTTACTGAAATCTAAGATTTATTAATCTGACCATTTGTTTCTCTTAGCCTTTATCGACTACATCTGCCTGAGCATTTATTTGTTTAATCATGCTGTTTTTCATTATTCTTGTTATCATAAATTGCTCTAATTTTCCATTTCTATTACCAATAGAATTATTATTATTATATTAGACTAAATGTACATTGTATATGTAATATCTTATCATAGTATTAACAAATCACCATGGTTGGTTTGTATTTAATATTTTTTGATTGCAAAATTATGCATGTTGGAGTAAAGCCTGACGATATCTAACTGAAAACACAGTATTGTTCGCCTACATGTTTTGTTCTAAATTGTATTGTGGGAAAGGAATATCCATAAAAACTTCTAGGAACATTATGTAGCATGCGCATCCTGGATTCCACTGCTAGTCACCATCTACCAATTAACGTCTAATTACATTATGTAACGGTTCAACTTCTTGAAGCTGTAAATCTTTGAAATATGACTAGTAAAAAAATGATAAAAGTAGCCTGTTATATATATATATATATACATATATATATATATGTATTTGTATATATAGCGTCGGTGGCACAGCGTTGGAATGCTCGCCAACCACGCATGTAGTTCGGGGTTCGATCCCCGGCCCACGCACTCCTTTACCTCGCTAAGTCAGTAATAGAACTGGCAAAGAGGGAAGATTAGGCATGAGGCTAGCAACCCCATCCTGTAAAAATAATCACTACTGCTACAGAAACTTCAAGCCTTTAGCTTGAAGCCCTATGTTCCACTGTGAACGTAAAGGAATATATATATATATATATATATATATATATATATATATATATATATATATATATATATATATATATATATGGTCAGAGCTGGCTGCGAACAAGCCAAAATTGTAGACAGCAATTTACATCAGTTTTACGTCCCGAATCAGGGTCATGAGAAAAACAATAACAAAGCTTAACCTTGAGGAATTCAACAACCAATCACAGAGGACTTAACGTGTGCAAACACGATTCGCAGATATATGGCCTGACCTTCTGAGAAACGTCCACAAAGAGATGACAGAATAACCTTCAGTAAGAAAACCACCAATCAGAAGACGTTGGCTTCTCTGCTAACAATAACGAATAATAATGTACATAAAAATCTATAAATATCTCTTGATTTTCTCAATAAACAATCTGTTGTCTAGCCTTTGTCTTCTGTCGTTAAACATATATATTTCTCACTTTTGCTTATGTAAAGGATTCCGCGAAAGATAAACATAACTCTGACACAAAGTGATTCAGATTCACATCATCAAAGGAACATGTTCTGACGTTTTAGATATCCCGCTAAAGGGTACCAGATACTATGAAACTTAGATTCTGTAGTTTCTACAGATTGACTCTGACGTATACTGAAATCCATGAGATTTTCATACTTCCACAGACTAACAACAGTGATTTTTAATTATGATGAACTAAATGAAATATTATATATGCGCATCAATGCACAACTCATATAAGAGCTATATAGATGGAAATTAGACGTCATGATATTAAATGAATTCTTTTAATACGTGTTGGAGAGAAAAGTTGGAAATTTCACTAGAAAACGTTTTAAAACTTCGAAAAGTGACAGAGGACTGCTTTAAGTATAGCATACAAACGACCCAGTAATCAATAAACATGTAGATTTGAACCTTATCTTTTACTGAATCAAGTAAAAGTTCAAGAAATAAGCTGTCGACTTAAAAAGTCGTTTTAAAGGAACAAAATCTTATCCAGGAGCATATACATTTTCAAAAGAATAAAGAACACCTCCGAAATATAACGACGATCTCAACGCCATTATCTCAGTTGAAAAGTAGAACAGAATCGAGACTGTTCAAGAAGAATCAAAGGAAAGCCAGTTTAGCAAATCTAATCCGAAAACATAAACCAACTTAAGTAAAAAAAACCTGAGTAACTGATTTTCAATACAGAACTTTGCACAGAAGTACAGCAGTCCAAGTTGTCATACTGTGTAGCCCACAGACGTACGGAAAAAAAGAGATTCAAAAGAACCATCATCAGCAGAAATGTGACAGAGAAAGAATAATTACAAGGGAAAACATGGAGGTTTAATGGAAGTGAGAGATTACAAAGAGTGTATGCATCTGCGCCATTGACAAGGATCTTGGGCCACATCACCGATTGTCTCCAGCCAATGGTTCTTAACATCCTAAGGACCCCAACCAGACTGTCTACACCTCTCTACTTAGCTCAAACTAACTGTCAAAAACTTGATCAACTGGATGTTGTGTTTTGGTTTAACCACCCTTATTTCTTCTCCGACCTAGTCCCATTCCAGTTAACATTCCTCGGCGAAGTATAAACTCCAAAGTTAGAACAAATAGAAACTTAAACAAAGGGGAAAAAACTCCGACGTCAATAGACTAAAATTATCCCTAAAGTAAAACCTAAGGACATTTCAATAATGTAGACTAAGAAGGATGGAAACCAATACAATGACCAAAGAACAAGAAATCCTGATATATATAACGACTATACTAGCAAGGAACATCTAATTAGTCAGAATATTCTGTACTCTACAGTCTAGTTAGTCAACACTGAGCTACTCCCGGAAACAGATCGTCCATGTAACAGACTGTGAACTACAATTAATGTATAAGAACTAATGGTACTACTCTGTTGCCTTCGCTGAATTAGATGGAGTGAGATACAAAACCCGTAACACAATAACTTGAAAGTCGAGTGACTACACCAATCAACCACATTCTACAAATGACACGAAGTTTCTTATGAATATTCATGAAGTAGGACTGAAGATGACGTCTAGGCTGAATTTGGAAGCTTAACTAATAAAATTCCAGTCTCAAGAGGCAATAAAACTACCAACAAAACTATAGTTCTTCCATATTACTATTCTTTCTGCCTCATATCTCTGTTTTAAATCTCTCTTTACTCTCTTCTCTTGCGCTTTATGTGCTACGTGAAGTGTAGCAACTCGAAATGCTGCACACGTATTGCAAACCAACAATGTTTGTGTTTCTTGATATTAGGGCTGCCTTCGATTCGTTGGACAGAACTGTGCTCTGGGACTGTCTGTTAGAGAGAGGTGTACCTGAGAAGTTTGTTAACATCTTGAAAGCCTTATACAGAAACACCTCAGGTAGAGTTAGGACATACAACCAACTATCATCACTGTTCCCAACCAACAGTGGGGTTAGACAGGGTTGCCCAATCTCTCCATTTCTCCTTAACTTTGCCATCGATGACATTCTGGAGTCAGCTCTGAAGGATTTGCGTGAATGTGGTGTAGATGTGCTACCTGGAGATAGACTTTTCGACCTTGAGTATGCAGACGATATCGTCTTACTGTGCGATAGCATGCAGGCTGCCCAAATCGCACTTAATCAGTTGGCGATCAGTGTCTGTAAGTATGGTATGTGCTTTGCACCATCTAAGTGCAAAGTACTGTTACAAGATTGGCAGGAGCCTGTACCTGCACTCACTCTTGCGGGCGAACCGCTTTGAGTGTCGTCATCTGGGAACACCGGCTCCGGTGGCTTGGACATGTGCTGCGAATGTCATCCCAGAGGCTTCCGTACAGGTTTCTGTTCGCTAGCCGTGGGACGGATGGAAAAGGCGGAGGGGTGGTCAGTCCATGACGTGGCGTCGTTGGATGAAGGATTTTTGTGTTAAATTAGCATCGGTTGGTGCGTCCAGACTCCCTGGTTGGGGTCCGCGAGATAGCTCGAATCGATGGCTCGAAACGTTATCGGATATGGCCAAGAATCGCAGTCATCAATGGCGAACGTGTTGCAATTTCCTTCTTTCTTCCCTTCCTGATGATAGTTAACGAATACTGTTTGAACTTGTTAAACATGATTGTTTTCCTTCCAGATGAAGTTCTTTATCCGTTTCCTACTTATATTTTTACTTTTAATCTATGTTGTTTTATTATTATTGTGTGGCGCATCTTTCTTGGTGCCATATTGTACCAAGTTTTTTCTGCGTTTAAATAAATAAATAAAATAATGCTGCACATCGGTGCAAAGTTCTACATTGAAATCAGTCAGACACAGGATAAATTTGTATAATATCAAAATATACATACCATGAAATAATGAATACTTTCTTAATGAAGAATCAGGTGTATCACTAAGTTTATTATTATAAAATTCCATATTTTCAAATATACTTGGATCTATCATCATTTCTGGTTGTTGTTGTTGTTGATTATGACTTAAACGATTATAATGATGATGATGATAAAATGATGACTCATCATGATTTGTTGTTTTATGCAAAAATTTATTTGAAGTATGCTGCTGATGAGGATGAGGATGATGATATGGCATAAAGGCAAGATCATTTCGATGCGATTGAAGATAATCAAACTGTGATGCTGCTGCTGCGGATGGATCATATGATCTAGGCTTATACACCGCATCATCGTATACTTTCATACGTGATGTAGTAAATATACGACTATCTGGTTGACTAAGCGATGGTGGTGATGGTAAATGTCGTCTAGGTAAGTATTGTGATGGTGAATAGTCATCCCTATGTGTTAAGGGGATGTCATGAAATAGAGCTTTAGGATAACGCCATGGATTATCATTTGTTGAGAAGTATATTTCTGGATTATTTTCGTTATTATTATTATTATTATTATTATTTTTATTATGCATATCATATAGAAATGATGGTGACGCGGAAGAGACTCTTTCATCAACATCATATAATGGTTTTTGATTAAATTTAATCGGATTCGATCTTGACAACTGTTGTTGTTGTTGTTGTTCGCGATGACGATGTTGAGGCTGATGATTATCATTATTATTGTTATTAGTATTATGTGAATTTGGTTGATTAGGAAATAGAATTGATTCGGATGGATCAGATAAATCATTTAAATCAAGATAACCAGGTGATGTTGTTGTTGTTGTTGTTTTTGTCGGTGCTGTGATTGTTGTACTACTACTACGTGACGATGTTGCGCTTGGTAATTTTTGGTGGCTTAACGAACGAAATCTTTCAAATGGTAGTTGATAACTTTCATTTAGTTGAGATTTCGACAGTGTAATCTCGTCTAATTCACTTAGTTTATGATTATGAGACGTTGATGAGAACGATGAAGATGCTTTTGTTTCATTTCTTTTATCCAATCCTGTAGTTTAATTGAAAGACAAAAAAAGAATTATACATATATTTCTTTTTCTTTTATCTTGGAAAAATGAAATTAATTTACCAGTTAGCATTGGAATAAAGAGATTTTCTAAAAATGACAAATCTATGACTAACGCCATCTCTTCTTGGTAAATATAGAATATTAGACAACTGTCTTGTCCTAGTTTGAAACTCTTCCATGGTACATAACAATGACTGTGACAAGGATTAAGCTCCGGGATTGTCAGGTTAAGACATGAGCAACTTAACATATAAACGCCAGAGTTTTGGAATCTAAAACTGTATAATTTTCAACTCCTGTCAACTCACGATATAATGTCATTGCCGTCAAATACTGCCAGTGAGTATTCATCATTACAACTGGAAATCAATAAAATCCCCCAAAACTCAACAACTTAAATTAATCGGGTATGGGAACAATTGCACAATGATCACATTGGACAACAGTGACTCTATATCGTGAAGTGTCAGAAGTTGGAAATTGTTAAACGTTGACTTGAGACCAGGTAACGAAATCCTAACTTGCTTACCGTCCCCGTCCCCCGGTAACTTGATAGTTATTAGGTTCATCTCCACTAGGATGGTGGGTGGGTACTTCTGAAGACTTCTGAAACAGAATGAAACAGTTGTCAAGTGTTCTATGGTTTTTCATGTATCTCTCACACGATGTCCTTTTTTAAAGAAATTAGTGTTGGAAATTATTGTAGAAGGCGTATGTTAACAATGCTTAATTATTAATCCATCTAAATCAAAATTGAATCTCATGACTAATTAACTGAAAGTTTATACGATTATAGTTAAGAAACTGATATACTTATTATAATATTACAATAAGAAAGAACAGCTATTCAAAGATTAAAAAATGTTGTTTACTGTTTCAAGATGAAAAAATTGGTACTTATCATACATTCTTTTTTACCTGAAGGAGACATTCGATTCAGTTAAGAAGTCGTAATAAGGAGCGCTGACAGAGTATGATACATTTATCAAGACAATTAAGTGGAACCCACACAGCTGTATACAGGTTTACAGAAAGTTGTCACTTGATATGATTGACAACCAGTAAGGATATCCACTTTCACTACTTCCATATAACTTCGTTGGGTGTATAACGACAGAAGTGGCTTTAACTAACGCCGATATCTCAGCAACTGGCTTATTGCTTAGAACCTAACTAGCTGATTTACTGTACATAAGTGACGGTGACAAACACAAAGATTTTTGGTTGGAGGATTTCATCATGAGCTGACATCAGTTAGAGAACCATTGGAAAATCAGCTGGGAGTACTGGACAGCCGTTTCGCCCTAGTTTTGGACTCTTCATCAGTACACACCCACCGGGGTTCTAACTCAGGTCCCAAAATAGGACGAATCAGCTGTCCAGTACTCTCAGCTGGTTTTCCAATCGTTCTCTAACTGATGTCAGCTCATGATGAAATCCTCCAACCAATCAAACAAAATCCCTAAAAAACAATACTTGACAAAGATTTTTCTTTGATGAATGATCGCACTGAAATGCTTGCATCACGTCCTGACCGACTAGTTACTGACGACAACTTAGCTAGGACACAGATCAACTGATAGTGACTGATCACAACTAGATATTCGTAGGCAATAAGATAACACAATACTAATCCATATTGGTTATGTATATGTAAGGTTGTGGCTTCGACAATATGAATTACCTACAAACGTCCAAACTTCGCCCTTATTATAATAAATCCTACCCATCTTCATCTCTTCTTGTCTTCACTGTTTCTAAATATAACTGACATTATTGTTTCTTTTTTTGATTCCTTTATATTCCGAGGGGAGCATAGAGCTTCAAGCTTGAACTTTGGAAATTTAGTAGCTGCGATGTTCACCTTTTCAAGGGGTAACCTTTTCTCTTTACCGGGTTTACTACTGGATGAGGTTAAGGAATGCGCCGGCCGGGGATCGAACCCCGGACCACATGCAGCCTGGTTGGTGAGTATTCCACCACTGAATCACCAACACACATTATTGTTTCTACAGTTATATTAACCATTCTAGTCGAAGAAAATGTTACATTTGGTCAGATATTTTAGGTCGAAAAATGACTAGAAGTTATTTTCTCAGTTGTAAATAAAATATTAGGCTGATATGGTATACAGAATGCAACTAATTGAATGATTCAGATTAGTATGAATATTTAAAATGCTATGTTGTCCAAGAAAGACTATGATTTATGTAAAACGGCTAAAGACATTCTGTATTTAATCACAATACTTGATTAACAAAACCAAAAACGTACTTGAAGGACACGACAATTCATCTGATCCATCTGGACATTCCACTATTCCATTACATTTGTCATAAATAGCTACACAAGCAGAGGAATCATCACATTGGAATTGAAGTTCCGGAGATTTACAAACGGACTGAACTGAAAAGGTTTTATTTTACAACTAGGAAAAACTATACTTACCACAACTGCCTTTCTTTGCAATCCAACCCGACTGACAAACACAGACACCAGCTGAGCATACGGTTTTAGCATCTTCACACAGATTATCTGAGTCACAGGGCTGATTTAAACCCACTTAATTAATAAACAATGATACGTTATAACAATAAGAAAATTACCTTTCTTCTTTAAACTCTGATTAACACTTGTTTCTTCGAGGTAGATGATATCATAGTTGGAATGACTAGAATAAAAGCATTGGGCAGGCGGTCGGCAATCGAACAGAAAGCAAGATTGTGTAACCTAGCAATATACTTTAATCCAAATGGTATCATAAACTCACCTTTGAATCGAAAATCGCTGTACTGCACTCATTTGTATTACAACATATGAAATAGCATTCTTTAAATGAGGAAACTCTTAACTTTTTGATAAATTTAGCACCAGCGGAAATTGATTTCTGTGTTAAAATAACTCTGTTTGGCTTGAATTGAAAACTTTTGCCACAGCTGTTATTATCATCCACTGACAATACTAGTACTGGCCCAAAAGTAATAACAAGCTGGCATATTATAGTCAATAGAATTGAAACCCCCATATGAATACGGTTTAACAGTAAATCATCTGGGCTTAAGTGGTTCTACAACGACTGAATATGAACCTAAGATTGCTAAAAGAAAAATTTAGAAAATACCATTATTTAAAGAACCTTCATGTGACAACAAGACGGCCACACTTGAAAGGCAAGCAGTAATTATTTCTAGGGCATTACTAAATCTGTATATGAAAGAAAATTTTTGCCTTGCTTGCATAAATCTCATAAATCATTGTCCCCTACGAACAACTTTCAGTTCTGATTTTTTTAAAACGCCAGTTAATTGGGAATTTTAAGTGGTTGTAGACGGATCTGAAAATTTACAACGTAGCCAACGCTTTCTAACAGCACCCAAAATCTGTACTAAGTAGCACATAAATACGCATTTCAAATCGAGTTTTTCATTAGGGCAGATGATTATTCAGATACTACTTTAAGTTTGTTAGTGTTTGATGTGCATTTTGCTATAAACACCTATTATATCTCCGGTCTTATTAAGAAATAAATGCAGTATTTAAAAATCCTAATAAATAGCACTCATTAGGTTTGTACGCCCAACTGACTCACTAAGGAGATAAAGTAGGAATTTACGCGAGTGCTCCTGTCAAAATGTCAGATTTCCAAGAAGAATCACCTGTCACACTTGTAACTTGAGTAACACTACACGAAAACCGGGAATATAGGAAATGTTATTATCAAAAAATTAAGAGTGAGAAATAATAAAAACATGTGTACCGAGTCCGAAATACATGTGAGTCACTTGGTACGACTATAAGCAAAAAATTATACCTGAAAAGTTATTAGGGGAAGTAAGCAACACAGTGCCACTGTTTGCTACATCAAATAAAATTACTCTACTACAAAGTTCTGTTCCCTAAGTGTCCAAGTTGTTCTTATGTAAATAATTCCCATGCTCAAGTAAATATCTACTAGACTTTAGTGTGCATTACTAGCAAGTTAACGTCTTAGTCCGTCAAAAAATCACCGTCCAGACAACTTGTTCCATTTATTAATAAGTGTGAGGAAATGTCCAACACAATCTAAGTTCTCGTTGACAGAACCCATCCCAACAAAAAAGGAATACAACATATACATACTAGTAATGAGTATAATGATATTATTAAAAATAGGTTTACATCGTGATACAAACCTCACAAATACCAAAGAGACACTCGCCAAGTGGAACAATATATACATATATATAGCTTAATTTTGACCAGTATCGCAAACAGCACGAATTTTATGCACTGACTAAAGTGCATCAATTTGATTTAGTGTGAGAAGATAAATCAAATTACATGACGCGAGGCATTATCAGCCTAGGCAAACGACGCGTAAGTCAAGCTTACACATCCATTGAGTAATTTAGGGCATTGCGCTAATCTCAGCAATAGCCGAGAAGACATTCCACTTGGAAGAAACGGAACAGAAAGCGATAACATAACAAGATAGTACGCAAACACACGCCTTACGATGTGTACAGAGGGTGAAAGTGTGTTGCATAGGACCAAAGTATGAATACACGTATGCCCCAAGCTTACAATAATTCCAAACTAATTCTAACCTACGCGTCGATAATGCCTTTTTACGGTAAATAAATATTTTATCTACCTGAAATGAACCCAGTATGTAGTGAAATAACGCTGATCATTCTTGAAAAGAGCACTGGACGCTGAATCTGGTCTGAGGGCTGGAAAAATTGCCAGTATGCGCTAAACTAAGTCTTGTTGTTCTAAAGTAATGCCAATCAGTACTGAATCTGGGCTAAGAGGGCTGAAATAAGACTCATAAACAGTAGGTTCTGAGCTACTTCTGAAAATGCCTATAAAAAGAACATGGTGCTGAATTAATGCCATTCATGGTGAAAATCAGCAGAGTCCTAGTTTATGCTCATGATCAAACCATTTCAGGATTTTCTAATTACAGAAAGCCAGTTAGTTCAGAATTTAGAAGGTTTAATTCACCATTATTGTAATCTTGCGGCCAAGAACGATTTCCCGTTGCTATTTCTATGAATGTTAACATGGCCTCACTTGAAAATTATCAGTTGATTTTTGTTCTCAATCCTCTTGATTTAAAACCTTTCAGTTCTCAGACATAAAATTAATGAAGACAAAAAGGGTTGCCTTTACACAGGCATCTTTTTTTTCTACAGACAATGCTGTATACAATATATATTGTACATGGCATACAAAATTGTATGCCTTAAGGTTCAGCTGAACCTTGGAATTAACCTGAGTAATTACTCCCATAGATTTATGTGTAAAATAATTAATTGACTATTAACGAACAACATAAATATTATAACTGTACTGGACTTACGACTATGCAGCCTAATTTCCCAAGTGAACAATCTTAGGAAATATTCCGTAACGCCATTTTCATTTTGAGAGGTCATATATTGGACATCAGGATTCGACTTCAAAATGGTTTATTAGGACTGGTGATGTGGGCGCAGCTTAGTTAGTACATCAGTAGCATTTACAAACTCTCTCTACGTAAAATTAAGCAACTGTAGATCCATATATTTTTATATCCGCATTAACATGTTGTTAAGGTTAAAGGTTGTCAGCAGGGTAAGCAATGTGCCACTTAACCAGCTTGTTAATATTCTGGTCGACAGGCACATGGACTCATGTGAAAAATGGGCCAAATCCATTTTATCTAACTCACACCACCCTCTTCATTCAAAACTCTCCCCTTGCATCTCATCAGGCAAAACCAGAAGCCTATATAGAAAACTATATGCTCGCACCAGCAAGTACAAAAACTCAACCATACCCTACTTAGCTCGTGTTCTGTGTGATAAAGAAAGCATAAGGCGTGACACCTATAATTCATTAAATAGTCAGTAGAACAACTGGACCTCGTCTTTCCAACTCATATCATTTATAGGCACAAAATTTTCTTTCTTTCTTTTCCTTTTCTCTCTCTCTCTTTTTCCGTTATGTGCTGCTTTGTTTCTTTCTCTCGCTTACGCCAGTAAATATGACAGCACCTACTTTTCTAACACCATCAAACACTCTGTTCAACTTTGGCTTTGCTACCGACATGCCAATATGTTGTTGTAATAATGAACTGTGATTTCCTTAATCTATGTAAAATTCTATTTATTGATAATGTACCAACTGGATTCAGTACTGTAGCAAAAATGTTGAGAATTCCATTCTGTATCACATGTACTGTTTTTGAATAAAGCAAGTTATTATTATTATTAAACATCTGAAAGAACAATATATCCAATATCGTTTTTACGAGCTAGTATAAACCAATTTGATTTCTTTGGGCTTGCCTCTTGATTGTGAGGTAGAGGTTCCTGTTCTTCAGTAAACTTCTACGTAGCTCGTCCGCCACTCGACTGTCGTAGCTTTGGTTGACTCCAAAAGGAGTAGTGCTGTAGTATGAGGTATATTAAGACTGTTACCACTGTGAATGGAGTTTATCCTTTCACCAGTTAGTCTTCCGGTATCGTCATCAAAATGAAAGAGAAAATAATAATAGATGGAATTAGTGAAGTTACTCAGTCTAACAGACAGAAAAAGAAATAAGAAAACGCAAAAACAGTCAGCTAATTAAATTTGAAGAATAATATGAATATTATATATATCGGTAATAATGATAGTAATATTAATAATAAGTGTAGTTAAAGTTGTCAGGAAAGTAAGACGGGAAAGAATGTAAAGAAGTAAAACGATGAACTCAGTTGTCTACCGCTGAATGGTGTATGGGATTTTAAGGGGATAAGCCATTTGGACGCAGTCCTTGTGTCTCTGCATGATTGTCCAGCCTTCGCTTAAAGGCGTCCACAGACGGTGCCATAGCTACATCTGCCGGTAAGGAATTCCAGGGACGGCAAACCCGCAGTGAAAAGAGGTGGGAGCGCACCCGAGTCCTTGCCCTCTGGTGAGCTATCCTTTTGGGATTTCCACGAGGGAGCCTATACCCACTCAATGGCGGAACACCTTTGTTTGGGTGATTCTGGTCATTTGTTATTTTGTAGGCAGTAACTAAATCCCCCCTAAGACGATGGTAACTAAGTGTGAATAGGCCTGATTTCTTCAGCCTTTCATCATATGGTTTTTTTTCGGAGACCAAACACTCCTTTTGTTGCCCGTCGTTGGACTCTTTCTAAGAGGTTGGCATCTCTTCTAAGCAGTATGGATGCAATAATATTATGCACTTCAAGGTGTGGTCTGACGCATGTCTTGTACAACCTTAGAAAGTGCTCAGGAATGAGTGCACATAACTGTCTATGTGAAAAGTGTATGACCGCATATCCCCTCTCTGCGTCGCCTGTGTATTTACGCCTGGGTCCATTTTTTCCTTTAGAATTAGACCTAAGTCGCACCCCGATCTTGTGCAGGACAAGTGTCAAGGAACTTAGCCCTAAGTTCCTATTGTAATGAAACGTAGGTGATTTGAACCGATAAATACTATGTATTTCTTTCAACTTTAAATCCAAAACACCAGTAATCCTTGAACGAAATTATATTGTTTGGCAATTAAAGTGAAGACACCTACAAAGTCTACAAACAAATGTTAAGTACAAATGAAGTTATAAAGTACTTTTATTCGTTTTTGTTCCCGTCTTCATTCAACTTGCAAGCGATCGAACCATTCGCGCCTTCGAGTTGCCCGCCAATGGCTGCCAGTTCCAATAAACAAACGTTCATTGTTCACGTCCATTGACAACAAGCTTTCATTGCACAGGGTGCAACTTGTATTCCGCAGTCTACACGTGCGTAACATTACTACTGTGAAGTTCTCCCGAAAGAAATCCGAAACGATAATCCAAACTATAGATTTAACCACACGTAGAGTGACGCGTAAAGTCCGAAATACAGGATATTCTGCAATACGGTACTTTATTACATAAAAATAAATATATAATATGCAAACCACAAAATGTGAGGTGTCTGTGGCTAAATGCCGTCAAATGCACAACCACTGTGCAGTCAATAAGTAAAAACAGCAATGCTGAGTCAAGGTTGATCCACGTGTCGGTTCAAACGGCCCGCGAATGCCAAGCAAAGAGTAAACAAATATGAACAAACAACTTTCAATAGTAAAGCATACACAATAGGGTAAGGTCAGCAAATAATGTTTAAGGAAAAGAAAAATGAGAACTATACATTAATAGAATGATAATAGAACAAGTAATTTAACTGCAGTTGTAAGCAAATATCACTGTTATAAATTAACGTATAAAAATCATACTACTTACTAATGGCAAGTAGTATAATGTTGAACAAAGGAAAGATTGAGAATGAACAGGTGGTAAAGGAATTAACACCGCCCCCTCAAAACCAGCCTAGTATTCCCTGCTCTACCTGCTAGTAAGACACAGAAATGGTACAATTTACTCTCGCCACATCTGCATCCACTATCCAGCTATATATCCTACAAAGTGCTTATCGCTCCTCAATACCTTCTAATAGGCAAACCTTACGCACATCTCGGTTGACTATACCCCTCGGTGTCTTGATATCCACTTTTCTGATATACCCATCACAGCTTGCCGTAACACCTGTAATTATTCCCACTGACCAACGATTGCGAGGTGAAGGCTCCGAAGTCACTAGTACTAGGTCTCCCACTTGTAAGTTTCGATGTCGTTGTACCCACTTTGCACGCGATTGTAAGGTAGTCAAGTACTCCCACTTCCACCGTCTCCAAAACGTATCGGCAAGGAGTTTCCCTTGTTTCCATCTTCGTGAATAACGTCCACATAAAATAACGTCGATTGTGGCTCGTTTTAAAGCATGGGCTGCACAAAAAGGTGATGAGGTAGCACCTAAGGGATGTACGTTTAATTCATACAGGCTCGGTGGTAAGTCCAGTCTACCCTCAGTCTGACCTTAGACCTTATGGTGAATGATTGATAAAAATCAAAAACATCAGCGGTCCTAGTATAACAACAGAAGACAAGGGCCAGGCAGCAGATTTTTTATTTACGACATCAACAGATATTTATAGATTTTCATGTACATTATAATAGATTAATGTTAGCAGAAAAACATAGTCTTCTGATTGGTTGTTTCTCACTTAAAGTTAATCTTTCATCTCTTTGTGACTGTTTCTTGAATGTCAGATCATCTATATGCTAACTGTATCCGCCTACGCAAAGTCTGCTGTTGTTGGTTGTTGGACCAGTCTTTGTTAATATTTTTCTCACGACCAATATTGGGGACGTAAATTACTGTCTATCAATTCGGCTAGCAGCCAGCTCTCACCACACTAGGAAAGAACCCTGCGACACTCCTGGTGACAAGCTAGGCCAAGGTGATCGTACTCGATTGACTTCAGCTTATTTTGTGTAGGAGAAGGTCATGGTGAAAGGTGTCAAATGCCTTCTCAAAGTCAAGGAAGACCACATGGACTGGAACATTCATATCCCAGCATGATGTCCAATCGTCCCAAGCTGATAGTAGTTTTGTTACACAGGATCTGCCTTTTCTGAAACCGTGTTGGACTTCATGGAGTATATTAGACCTATCGAGGTATTCCCTCATGTGATCATCAATAACACTTTCCAGTACTTTTGATGCCACTGGGAGTAGAGCTTCTGGTCTATAACTAGTGGCATTTTGCCTATCCCCACCCTTGAAGATCGGAGAAAGGATGGCTCTTTTCCATTCTCTTGGCAGTTTCCCCGAATCCATTGAGTGCTGGAACAAGTCACATAAGGGCCTACAGAGAGCTTCGGTGCACTGTTACAGAACAGATGGCCTGATGTCGTCACAACCTGGGGACTTCCTAGGTGCGAGTCGCTTTAGCTTCCCTAGTACTATTGACGGGTTTATTTGAGGAGTAGTCACTAGGTCTTCCTCCTGTGAAATAGTAGTGCCATTTTGTTCCGTAACGGTAATACCCACATTGCTGTTTAGCTGTTTGGCGAAGGCTAAACTGAATGTTTCAGCCATCTCCAGACCGGTGAGATATTGACCGTTTGGGCCCACTAAGGCGCATGTCCCCTGGTTGGTTGGTTTTCTTTCCAACATGAACCGATGCAAGTTTTTGGGGTCTGCTAGGAGATTTTTGGCAGGGTTAACCTGGAATGACCTGTCACTCCTGACCCTCACGTCTCACCAGTTCCTGAGTTCCAGGTATGCATCGTGGTCGATCTGACTCTTAGATACGCGTCACGTAAACCAAGCCTTCCGCTTGGCATGCAGAATACGTTGCGTGGCTCTCTTCAGCAACGATGACTTTCTTTTGGGCTGTGTTGTGACTAATGGGACGGTATCCGAGATTTTTTCCTTTCACGTTCCCCAGTGGAACATAGGGCTTCAAGCTAGAGACTTGAAGCTCTGTAGCAGTGTTTATTTTACAGGATGGGGTCGCTAGCCTCATGTCTAACCTTTCCTCTTCACCAGCATTATTTCTGGCTTAGCGAGGTAAGGTAGTGCGCCGGGGATCGAACGCCGGACCATGTGCATGGTCGGTGAGCGTC